TATATATATATATATATACTTTAACCACTGTAAATGGCTTCCATGATGTTTTTGATACCTGATTTTTGTATGTGTATATAATGCAAGGTGTTTGGATGGAGCTCCACAATCCAAGCTTTGAAATTCTCTACAAATTTCTTTTGTTGGTCAAATTAAACATTTAAACATTAGTTTATTGAACACTAGTTCATTGAACAACAAGAGTAGAGAAAACATGGAAGGACTGTGATTGAAACCAGCCCAGGGATTATGATGCTCTAATACGATATATAACCTGCTTCATTATCTTGATCAATGGTTTTCAACTGGTTTTGATTCACAACTAAGATTTTACATTGGACATGATAGGTGGTGACTCAATACAGAACCAAAACTAATGTATAAATGCCACAGAAATGTCTTGAAATTCATTAAAGGGGTCATATGATGTGATTTTAAGTTTTCCTTTCTCTTTGGAGTGTTACAAGCTGTTCGTGAATAGATAAGATCCCTAAAGTTGCAAAGACTAAAGCCTCAAACCCAAAGAGATATTCTTTATAAAAGTTAAGACTCGTCCACGCCCTCCTAAAATGCCTCGTTTAAACACACCCCCACATGTCTACGTCACTGTGTTTGAAGATTTGCATAACGCCGCCCAAATGTTCACGCAAAGAAAGAAGGCGTAACTTTGATTCTCGCTGTAGTATTGTTTCCGCCGCCGCCGCCATGTAGTGAAGGCGCAGTGTGTTTCGTTGTGAAAGCGAAAATACTTTGTTTGGTCTTCAAAAAGAAGACATGACTAGAAATCAGTGGTTAAGTTGTATTAACAACACTGTTCCAGAACAGTTTTTAGACCGATGAGCTTTGTAAAAATCGACGTGTTTCAGAAAGGCGGGGCATAGAGGAGAAACAATAATGTACAGTATGTGGAAAATAATGTGTTTTTTGAACCTTAAACCGCATAAACACATTTCATTACACCAAATATACAAAATAATGTTCTTTTTAGCAGCATCATATGACCCCTTTAATGTTGCCATAGATCCAACAATATGCTAAAGTGGTAATGTTATCAAATTTGTTCTCCTAACTATGCTAGATAATTTATTGCATTTAGATTTGTATTTTTTTTTCTTGCATTTTTTGTCAAAATGCACCAGTTGAGAGCCACTGTTTTAATTACACATTGATTTGCATCTTAATCTGCATTTTAATGAGTTTAAAAATATATTTTTTTACATTGCAAAGGCAGTGCAATTAAATTAACAAAATTAATTAACAAATTTCTCCCTCGTTGTGTGTTTATTTGGTCAAACGGCCTATTGGAAAATCCCATATCTGGAAAAACCCTCTGTGTCTTAATTTTTATGCATGTATACTAGTGTATAGTGTATGCATGTATACTATTAGTAGTACTAGTAGAATACTAAAATGAAACCGTTTGCATCACTGTTACATATAGCGTTTTATTCATGAGCAAATGAGTGTGAAGCAAAGTTGTGGATTATTTACATCATTTGCATATGGTTTCACAGCACATGATCGGCGATGATTGTGAATGTAACCGCGTCTTTGACCCTTTTTTGCCAGTGGGCTGATTGTATCTGTGTATTTCACTGAAAACTCAGTGTCTAGATATCCAGCTTTTCCATTTTTAACTGTCCATTTCGTTTCATGTTTTCTACTGCAGCATTATTACATGTATATTTCATGGCACAGATTGTATTGAAATCTTGGTCAAATCAAAAGTATTACAGCGCACATGAAACAAAAGAATCAGATAGCAGTAAAACGCAAACCAGCAGCAATTAAAAAAAACAAACAAGCATTATTGCTTCTTCTCTTTGAGCCTCTCTTGGACCTTTTGTGGTTCGTCAAACTGAATCAGACGGAGGATGTTCTTATTGTCCATAACTCCTTGAATGAACTCGCCCTCTGTTATTTTACCTGGTGATACAGAGAAAATGCACGCTTCAAAACTCAATAAAGCTTGTTCTGTTAAAGGGGATGTATCTTTGTCACACATTTATAACGCAACGCATACTAAAACTCGCTTACCGTTTTCTTTTTTCCCGAAGAAGTCCCAAATTTTATCTGTTCGTTTTTCAGGAGTATTCTCATCATCCGGAAGGTTCTTCTGGTCTTCTTTGGAGATCATGTTGAATATTGACTGCAAAGAAGAGCAAAGAGACTGTACATATTCTGATGGCAGTACATTACAATCAGTGCTGGGTAGTAACTGATTACATGTTCCTTTCTAAAACATTCTACCACTTATTTGGAAAGCCTTCCAGTTTTAGGGAACTACACACACAGGCCATTTTTTTAAATCAAAATAATCTAACGGTAGTCAGAATACATCACCCAATATGTGTAATCCAATAGATTACACTACAAACTACAATTTCCGCCATGTAATCAGTAATGGACTACAATTTGTAAGTAATCATTCTGTGCTAGTTTTCACCTTGACTATTTCATGAATCTCGTTTTTGGTGATGGTGCCGTTCCTGTCTACGTCGTACAGAACGAAGGCCCACTCCAGCTTCTCGACGGTCTTCCCTGAGGATGTCAGATGCAGAGCCACAATGTACTCTTTAAAGTCCAGCGTCCCGTCGCTGTTGGCGTCGAAGCTCCTGAAGACGTGCTGAGCGTAAGCCTTGGGATCGGCGTCGGGGAAGAAGCTGGCGTAGATGCTCTCAAACTGCTCCCGGCTGATGCGGCCCGTCGGACACTCGTTCAGGAACTTCTGGTACCAGGCGTAAAGCTGCTCCTCGCTGTACTTGGTGTTCATCTTCAGCTCCTCCAGAAGCTCTTTGGAAAGCGCTCCACTTTTAGCATTGCCCATTTTGCGAACTGTGACCAGGATAATGGCACTGGCGGCTATTTAAACTCAACTGAGGATTAAAGAGGACAAAGTGATTATAGCTGAAGCGTCTTTTGATTTGATAGTTGGTAGACAAGGAGTTAGTCTTGAAAGACTATGAGCTTATGTAACAGCAGGAGACCTCCTGATCTTATTTGATGCATTCGGATTAAACCACAATATGGCAGCACGCTGTTACAAAACCAGTTTACTGGGGTGATGTTTGCCTACATGTGTTAATTAAGGTCCCGATTTTGCATGCAAATGTACCGTAGGATTAAAATCATCCTACAGTACAGATTACGAACCAACACTTTTACTATTTTTGGTTTGTGAGAGTGTTCAAGAACAATTAGTCAATACATATTTATGCTTTTTTGCACAGTGCACTCTTAAAAGTAAAGGTGCTTCACGATGCCATAGAAGAACCTTTTTGTCTAAATGGCTCCTTTCTGTTTCACAAAAGGACCTTTGTGGCGAAAGAAGGTTCTCCAGATTCTATAAAGGTAAGAAAGAGATGGTTCTTTAAAGAAACTTTGACTGAATAGTTCTTTGTGGAACCAAAAATGGTTTGCACCTTTAAGGAGAATGATTGACTTCCTATGTAGTCTACACTCTTAAAAATAAAGGTGCTTCATGATGCCATAGAAGAACCTTTTTGTCTAAATGGCTCCTTTCTGTTTCACAAAAGGTCCTTTGTGGCGAAAGAAGGTTCTCCAGATTCTATAAAGGTAAGAAAGAGATGGTTCTTTAAAGAACCTTTGACTGAATAGTTCTTTGTGGAACCAAAAATGGTTCTTCTATAAGAACCTTTTGAAGCACCTTTATTTTTGAGAGTGTGGTAACTAATTTATATGTTAATAAATGTTATTTATAATATATAATTTAAATGTTATGATAGGCTATGTAACAACATATAATATTATAAGATCATATTCAATTGGATTGCACAGAATTTTTATATACATTTCTATATAATAAAAATAACAGAAAGTGTTCCAGTTTTGAACACGGAGATCCGTCATTAGTCAGGCGGCTACACAGCATTTGACCATTGGATTTACAAAAAATCATTTCAGGTTTAAACTCATCAACTACTGAAGAACACATTCATTTTTATTTGAATTATCACTCAGTCGGTTATTTTACCATGTATTACTTTTACTCTTTCAAACACATTAGAATGCTAATTCACCAGCTGTTTTGTCATCTGATCCTCTAATATAATGATCCTCACCTAATATATTTTTATTTGAAGTACCCTTGAGATTTTAAAATAAATATTTTAATAATGAAGTATCACATTTGCATGTTCATGGTTCTCTGACATTGGTTATGGTAACATGGCAAGTAAACGAATACAATATTTCATGTTTCCAGTAAGTGTTTGATTTTGATTTTTGTTTTAATTTAACATTTTTTATGATTTCATTAAATATTAGCTTTTCATTTAACTCATAAACCCCCTGCTGTTCCTTCACAAACCCAGTTTGGGGAACTCTGACATAATGTTGAATGCACTTCATGTTGTTGATAACGATAGAATAGATTTTCTTACTCCTTGTATTTTTATATATCAATATGGCACAAGATTATCCTAGTTAAATCATTGTGAAAAATGAGATAGTCTAAAAGTAACGTTTGCCTACGTGTACATTTATCAAGGTCCATATTTTGCATACATATTTTGTACATGCAAATGTAATATAAGATTAAAATTAGAGATAAAGAACTGGTAACATATTTTTGGTATTATTATAAAATCAATACAAATGCACAAAAACGTGAATAATATTCAGATTAAAGCACATTATTCAAGTTTAATTCAATTTGTATAGCGCTTTGAAATGTTTTATATCACTTGCTAGACCAAGACATTGCATTTAAAGGAGTAGTTCAGTTAAAATTAAAATGTACTCGCCCTCAGGCCATCCAAGATGTAGATGTGTTTGACCTTTAAGACCATTAAGACCTTTTCGACTTCAAACCATTGCTTCTGGTTAGAATACGAGCATAATTCATAACTCTTCTCTAGTGGAAAAAGTCCATCCCCTGTCGTCTCGCACATCTAAATCCACTTTATAACATTTGTTTAGCGCTTTTTCGGCATGTAAACTGTGCTTGATCTGTGCAGATTTCTCTCCTGATTCAGACCAGAGCACTTGTTATGGATTATGGACTCGTATTTTAGTTAAAAAGATCTTAATGATGGATTTGTTTCTTACAAACACACAGCTTTTGTCTTC